GGCTCAACCCGCCCGAGGTGAATGCCGTTACAAGTACAAGTAAGTAAGTATTCCAGGTGCGCTTGTATAAGTCAAGAAGAAGGTTCTTCGCTCGCCATAAGTGACTTTATACGTTTGCGCTTTGGAATGCTTACTAGAGTTCATCGTCAAAGATTGGCTTCTGCCTCCAACTGTCGGTTAGTTGTGACAGCTGTTACATCTACCGGTGGACTTTAGTAAGAGTTCGCAAACTCAGACGAATAAAGCCACAGCACCGCTTTGCCTAGTTAGTGCTCTAGTAAGCTACACCAAAACGACTGCGGCTCAACTTCGAAAAACGGCCCTAAAATCTATTGCCATGACGGGTGTCTTTGCAGGTTTAGTCTTAATAAGTCGGAGTAACGTAGAGGATGAAGAGGACGATCGTGGACAGCACTTACCTGGAGAGTGGTTTGCCGCAATCAGCCAAACTGGAGAATGAGACCTCAAAGAGTTGATCCATGAAACTGATGTGTTCCACAAAGAACCGAAACTTGGCCGAAAATATTGCCAATACAAACTGCAGGACGTCTCGAAAGTTGGCGTTGCCGGAGGCAATGTGGTTCAGCTGTTCCTCCACAGCTCGACGCATGTGCGGCAGCACCAGTTCCGGATCGATCGAGTGATAGCCATGTACCAGTACAATGCCAAGGGGCGTGGGCTTCAATTTACGGCCAGGTTGGAGCTAAATAGCGGCGAGACACATAACATGTCATATAACAAGTGATGGGATTGCAGCACATTTAAAAAACAAACAGTCTACAGGTGATTTCGCAAAATACGAAGCTTTCCGAGAGAAAATGATTCTGGCTGGTAAGCTGCACACATTATACGTGCCCAGAGAATACGATAAGGACAAATAGTACACTCGAGGGACGGCATGCGCATAGACCCGTTTAGGCTGAGGTAGATTTCCGTAGCACCCACTTCACGCGCTATTTTGTGCAAAGATTGCGAGACAAAGCCGAAAACAACTGGAAATGGGTGTGAGCGAAGTGCCTGACACGCCTAAACAGTCCATACCTAGGTTAGATTATACGAAAATCCCGATGGCAAACTATCACGGGGGACAGCTTCTAAACAAATTCGTAAATAAAGCTAAATGGTTTGCGGTCCCCCGAGTATTTTCCTTTTTAGGTCTCGAAACTGGCTTTACCTGGTACAATAGTTGGCCTATCTCATGAAATGTTAACCGAAATTCTGAAATTCGCCTTTGATTAGAAGACGGTAATTATTGTGTATTGTGTGTGTGTAATTATTGTGTAGCATAATGCCAAAATATTTATGTAACTCCAAGATGCCGGCTTGTAAATGACCTTAATTATGGGCGCCTACCAAAGCACACCCGGAAACAACCACTATATAAAAAGTGTGATTTTTTCCAGATTGATTTCAATACTCTTATAAATTCAAATCTATTCTATAGAAAACATTAGTAACACATATATCTATTAAATGAACCCGACACATTTTGTAAAAATGATGTTCCCTTTATATACTATGCTAAAAGAAAGGGTATCTTTTGGTTTACAATTATGAGATTTTTAAGACCGCGAAACGTGCATTCAAACAGCATCCCATCTGTTCGTTTATTACTGCTGCTTATGAAGTATATAACATTGCTTACGTCTGTTTAAAAAGTTTAAAAACCTCTATATGACCACTTCCTAAAAAGTTAGGGAAATATAAGATCTTTATTACATGGACACCCAGTTTTGAAGCCCTACGCATATGTGCAACTGCAGATAGGGTTCGAAAGTATTAGGGAAATGAACATGTTTGTTTAAAACCAAAAGATATCTTCACTTCGAATAGAAAATTCAAAGACGCAAGTCGCTACCACAACAGTGCAATACAAATTACCAGGTTTGGTTAACCACACCAAGAGATATCTAACCACTACCGCCCATAAGTATCAAACAGGACAAACATGACTCGTATAGCAGAGGTTGGGATCGACTGACTACAAAGCTGGAAACCGGTTTCAGCAAAAAAACTAAATCAGCTGGCTTTTGATAACTATGACGACTAACCTCGACGTAGGCTCGTTCACAGATATTTTCAATGTGCACTGGGATTGACGCATCAGTGCCGATGCCATGCTTTTCCATGGCGGTGATGAGTTCAGCCTCGGTAAGATAACCAGGGGGTCCCGTTTGACCCTCTATTAGGCTGGGCTTGTCTGCGAGACTGAAAGTCGCCCCGGCGCGCAAAATGTTGTCGGGCAACTGGGTATCTTCCACGGCCTGCCAGGTGAGAATTTTGGTAAAGCCAGGCTCCAGGACCCGCGAACAAGAAGCTGTGAACTTCTCATCACCAATTGAGATCAGAACTGTTGTCACCTCATAGCGACAATCGGGCATCAGCTAGACAAAGGACCGCATAAAAGACAACATTAATAGGAAGGAAACCAATTGGGTGCGGTCTCGAGCAG